AGTAAATCCACGAATCGCGGCTAACAGCCGAACAGATATAATCTCCAAGCGGCTTACGTTTCCAGCAATCAGTCGCTAACCGTCTGTAGTAAATCTCCCCAATAACGAGACCAAGCTCTGCATTGAGGGTAAAACAAGAACTGGCTCTACTGTGGGCTACCCGCCCGTATTTATGCAGGTCTCCCACTTGGTGGACACTCCCCTAGGGGACCAAATGGGAGACTGTAACCACGGACAGACATGTATCAGTTTAGGACAGACAGTCACAGAATATCCCCACAGTGCATCCTGGCTTCCTCCTCTCTGCCTGGAGATAATTGAGAAGTAATTCAATCATCTCCCAGGACAGAGGCAAATCACAATTTTAAATGACACATTAAAAAATACATAAAAATAAGTAACTGTACATACCGAACATTTTATATTCATGCAGCGTATCCCCAGATAGCCTGGATCTGAGTGCATATTCCTACCGAATAGCGCTCAGATCCCATACGCACAGTTCAATCGCCATTGAGTCAAAGTCTTTTACAGGTCTTTCGGTATGCGATTGACTCCATGGGATGGCTATCTGGGTTAAGTCCATTCGTATTATCCAAACTCCCGAACGGACCGGTGTTCGCATGACTCGACGAATGAGAAGGGCGGTTGGTAGTTTCAGCGGTGTTCGGTAGAAAAAGTGTCCGTTTATAGTTCCATAGAATCTGCGCCGAACACCGCTGGTCTTTCGTGTGTTTTAAAATGGCCGCCTCCTCATGGTCGGCATACGAATGACGACCACCCTGCATTCTGGTATAATTAAGATGTGTCTGCGGTTAACCACAACATTCTAATTGGGGCCAAGAGGTTAAGCAGCAGCACACTTTTCTTCTGGGTTGCCGTCCATTCGGTAGTTTCATTCGGTATAAGTCCAAAATAACGAATAGGGGCAACGCAATTCCGCGAAGAAAGGCAAACTAGACGAACCAGCCACACCAGTCATACAGATGGGTCTGTCACAAACCTTATCTCTCGGACACTGTCTTACCTATGCAGATTCAAATGCGATACTGGCTCCGATGTGGCAAACACAGCCTTGGTTTCCTCAACTTCTGGAGATGTCTTTGGATTTCCCGCGTCTGATACCAATGTCCCCAGACTTGCTTCTAGATCCGGATGGAGGTTGCACGACTTAATAGATATGGGTTTACTTCAGCTCATGGCGTCCCTGGAGACTCGCAAACATTCCACAATCAACTACGAAACTCCTGCCTGGACAATGCTTGGGTCCCGGGGACTAGATCTGCCTATCGATCTGCATGGCGAATGTGGGCTGGCTGGTGCGTGGAAAGGTTGTTGGATCCAGTTTATGCCTCTCTGAATGCGATACTACGTTTCCTAACGACACTCTTTGAATCGGGGAAAGCTTATTGCACTGTCAATGTTTATAGATCTGCTATTTCTGCAGGTCAAGGTTTGGATAGCTCCCTGATTGGACAGCATCCATTCGTTTGTAGGCTATTGAAAGGCATCAGATTCACTAGACCCCCAAGAGCAAGATATTTCTCATTTTGGGATGTCAATGTGGTGTTGAATTTCTTGGACTCCTGGCTGCTGAATGAGGAATTGTCCCTGAAACACCTGTCTTGGAAACTGTGTATGCTTCTATGTTTGCTCTCCTGTACGAGAATATCAGATGTTAGAGCCTTGGACTCGACTGCAATATCCTTTACCCCAGAGGGAGTGTCGTTCAACATATCTCGTAGGAGTAAGTCACCTATGAAGTCAGTCTCCTAGCCAAGATACTCTGTCAGACCTACCCTGTGCCGGTGGCTTGTTTGCCATCTTACCTAGATTGTACACGGACATTACGATCACCCGATTTACATAAATAGTTTATATTGTTTCGTATACCACATTTTCCAGTTTCTATGCCCACTTTAGCTCGGTGGGTACAGGACCTTCTATCTGTGACAGGGATTCACACTTCAATGTTCTCAGCTCATTCTGTGAGGGGTGCCATGGCCTCTAAAGCATCAAGGGTTGGTTGCCGCCTTGACGATATTCTGAGAGCTGCAGATTGGTCTCACGAATCTACGTTTTGGGATTTCTATTTCTGCCTGATTTACCATTTTTATTCTCAGGTTGTGGCTCAGCTTTGAACTAGCACAATAGAAGCCTCCGTGTCATTAATAAAATTCCAAGATTTTACTATTAACATGACCTAAAGTTTTGATTTTATTAATGACACAGAGGTGAGTATTATTTCCACCCACCCTCCCGGTGGGTTGTCGGACCTTGCTTGGTTACTATGCTTTGGTTTTCTGCACTGTAACTAGTGGTTAGTGTATTATGTGATGTTTTATACATATATCGTTATGTGATAATTTTTATATCATTATTGTAATAATGTATGCCTATGGCCTTCTATTGAATTATTATTATGATGGGTCCTGAGTTTGGATTTTACCATATATTTAGTTTTTTCACAGCTTGATTATCGACATAGAAGTTTTCCTATGTGGACGTCATTCCTGATGGTTAAAGTTTCGGACTGGATTCTGGTCTTTGGTCTTACAGGCAAAGAGGAAGTTTACTGCTAGTTCAGACCTTTTATAGACTGTTCCTGTATCCTGATTGGCTGCCCTGTTCCTACGCAGATTTGTTATATTTGATCCTTTTATTCATATTACATTGAAGTTTATATATTTTTCTCTTTGCTGCTGAGGGAAAATAAAGAAAGAGAAAGCATAATACTCGTCTCAGTGTCAATAAAATCATGACTTTACGTGATGTTAATAGTAAAATCTTGGAATTGTATATGCCAAAGATTTGCTAAAATAGTGAAGTATGAACATACTGTATTTACACAGACACGACACATATTGCATTAAAGTTTCTTGACACTCAAAAATGACTCTCAATATTGCTAGTTTACTGATCTGGAGTTCTGGGATATACTCATACACACTGCTTATTGAGATTTTGTTTTTATTGTAGACTGGAATTGAGGGAAAAATCCAGACCTCAACAGCAATAAAACACATTAATGTTCAGTGGATGAGTGTATCACAGATCTCCTCAGCAATAAAACTCACAGTAACGTTCAGAGTGTATGAGTGCATCACAGAGCTACGCAGCAATAAAGCTCACGTTAATGTTCAGACTCCAGAGTGTATGAGTGTATCACAGATCTCCTCAGCAACGAAACTCACAGTAATATTCAGAGTGTATCATAGATCTCAGCAATAAAGCTCACAGTAATGTTCAGAGTGTATGAGTGCATCACAGAGCTACGCAGCAATAAAGCTCACATTAATGTTCAGAGTGTATGAGTGTATCACAGATCTCCTCAGCAATAAAGCTGACGTTAATGTTGTTCAGAGTGAATGAGTGTATCACAGATCTCCTCAGCAATAAAGCTGACTTTAATGTTGTTCAGAGTGTATGAGTGTATCACAGATCTCCTCAGCAATGAAACTCACAGTAATATTCAGAGTGTATCATAGATCTCAGTAATAAAACTCAGAGTAATGTTCAGCGTGTATGAGTGTATCACAGATCTCCTCATCAATAAAGCTCACGTTAATGTGAGCAAGGCTGATCCTGGGGTCACTGATGCCTGGGTGCAAAAATGTTTTTTGGTGCCTCCAGGTAGGCATGGCTATATTGCAAACTCCTCCCCTTCACAAACATAACACATTTTGACCACACCTATCATATCCTTTCCTATAAAGACCACTCCAACTCTTTGGGACCCCCACCTATACACAATAGCATGTTACCCACTTCCTACAATGTCAGTTTTGCCCAAAAAACTCATCAGTGCCATCTTTGTGCATAGTGCCATCTCTGTCCCTATATAGCAGACCCATAACCTTATCTCAGGAAGGGCACTGGTAGTGGGCTGATAGGGGCTGTAATTGAGGAGTGAGGGGCTGTAGTGGAGTGTATGTGCTATAATTGGGGGTTAGAAAATCTATTGGGGGATTGGGACTGCAGTGGGGGGTAGGAGCTGAATTGGAAGATGGCTTCAATTGGAGGAAGGGGCTGTAGTGTAGGGGATATAAGCTACAATTGGGGGATAGGAGCTGTAGTGGGGGCAGGGGTGTAAAAGGCGGTATAGAGGAGGTAGTGTGGGGAAACGTGCTGTAGTGGTAGGGTTAGAGGCTGGAGTAGGGGGATACGGGATGCATTTGGAGACTGTAGTAGTGGGGTTGGGGGCCGTAATATGGATAGTTGCTGCAGTGGGGAAATAGGAGCTACTATTGGGTTAAAAGGGCTTTTAGGGGCTGTAGAGTAGGGGATATGGACTGCAGTTGGGGAAAGGAGCTGTAGTGGGGGGGTAGGGGTGTAAAAGGGGCAATAGGGGCTGTAGTGTGGGGAAATTGGCTGTAGTGGGAGGGTTAAAGGCTGGAGTAGGTGGATAGGGGCTGTATTTGGAAGGTAATATGAGACTGTAGTAGTGAGGTAGTAGAGAGGGGGCTGTAATATGGATAGTGGCTGCAATGGGGAACAAGGAGGTACTATTGTGTTAAACGGGCTTTAAGGGGCTGTAGTAGGGTATAGGGAAGCAATTTAATAAGCTTATTTGCAGCTTAATCTGGATCAAGGGGCCTAGAGCACACGGGACGGGAGAGGCAGCCGATCTCCCAGTTCGGAGTTACCCTATGACTCTGACTTCAGTGCAGGCTCCCCGTTACCCCCTCCCCCTCTTTGGACCGGTGGGTGTGATCCCAGTCCACCCCTGGGAGGCTATCTTGACCTACCTAAAGCAGGAGGAGAGGCCATTGAAGCTGCGGGGACACCTAGTGACTCGTCAAGCATGGTGGACACCACACTGTACCCTGGCATTGAGGAGGCCCAGCTGGATATCTTGGAGCGCCTGGACAGAGCCTTTGCAAACTTCTGAACTTGGTGAAAAGGAGGCATGAATCTGCCCAAAGCAGTCGAATAACTACTCACCTCCTCAAAGATCCCAAACCAACAGACATCCGCAGCCCAAAGATGAAGGCCCCAAAATGGCAGCGAGGCGGGAAGCTCCTATGTCTCCCACTGTGCGCCTGCTGAAGTCCATGGCTGGTGCACAAGGTGAGACTGAAAAGCGGTGGAAGACCCTGATCCTGTCCATTGCGAGGAACAACCTGTTCACACCTGGGCTTGGGGGCCCTATGGTGTTCTATCCTGTCTTGGGACTGTGCTTTACCCGTGGCAGGCATGGGATGAGTCAGGCTCACGGATACGGTGTTGAAAAGCTTATGGCCACTCACATTTTCCCTCTCCCAGAACCTGATAGGGAAATTCGATGCCTTATTGCCTCTCCTTATGGGTTAACACTACACAATCTCCTGAGCCTTAGCATAGCAATCTTTATAATCCCACCAACCTGGGGGCTTCCTAGGGGATTTAACAATCTCAGTTGAGCATTGTACTAACTATTCATTTATACCTATCTACCCTATTGAGTTTAATCTTTACTCAATTACATAAAATTTTATTAAATTTGCCCTGCTTTATTTGTCTTAACAAAAATGTGCTGACATATGTATACATGTATTCTTACCTCATTGTACTCTATCTACTGTATACTGGCTTAGCTCTGTAATTATCCAGCACAACAAAAATAAAGAATAAAAGAAAAATGTCCACAGGTCCTCCCAGTGTTCAAGAGGCATTTTGCCTATGTCCTCAGCTTTTTCAATTGATGAGCTCCTTCCATCATATCCCTGTAAACATTGCAGATTCTCTAGGACTACAACATTGCATCACTAGGTGCAAGAAGGACACTGACTCAGACCACTTCAATGAGCTGAAGTGATCTGGGTGCCTACAGTGTGCCTTTAAATTAAAAAGCTAATGCATTTTGGCTTGTCCCATCTTTTTAATGATGTAATCTCCACTCCATTTAGTATGAACTTTCTGAATACTTATACAATCAAGTTTATTGAGACCACTATTGTGTACATTTTTAAAGTGCAAAGAAGCACTGTGTCACAAAACCATTCTTCACATGTCTTATGTGTTCTTATATTCATACCTGAAGCACACTAGTGGTACGACCAACAAAAGCAAGTCCACATGGACAGGTCATTAAATAGATTACCTTTTTACTATAACAAGTAATAGATCCTATTTTATAAAAGGTATGTTTTTTATTTTGAAAGTGGATAAAACTGTAAATTTTACTCATCTTTACCTGCCCCTACTGGCCACCAGGCCACTAGTGGTGAAATCACGAGGCGGGGACTTTGCCACTTTAAGCAGTGTTTATAGCTATTAAAATTTTCTGACACCGACTATATGATACTAAACTTGTATAAGATCTTCTACATCAATATAAACCTAAAATATCAATAACCAGCACACTTATCCCAATAGCGCAGTGCAAAATCAGGAGAATTGATTGAAAATGGTACCTACCCTTTTCACTATTTATACAGTAGATATAACAAGGATTCCTCAGTTTCCTCAAATGTAAAACAAACTCAAACACATTGGGCTTGTATATTGTTCAGTAATTTGTAATATTTTATTTATTTTTATTGTTTATTATATTATGGTAATGTGTTATGGTTTTAAATGCATGCCCCTTTTTTATACACCGTATATACTCGAGTATAAGCCGACCCGAATATAAGCCGAGGCCCTTAATTTTACCCCAAAAAACTGGGAAAACGTATTGACTCGAGTATAAGACTAGGGTGGGAAATGCAGCAGCTACTGGTAAATTTCTAAATAAAATTAGATCCTAAAAAAAATTATATTAATTGAATATTTATTTACAGTGTGTATATGATGAATGCAGTGTGTGTGTATGAATGCAGTGTGTGTATGAATGCAGTGTGTGTATGAGTGGTGTGTGTGTATGAATGCAGTGTGTGTGTATGAGTGCAGTGTGTGTGTATGAGTGCAGTGTGTGTATGAATGCAGTGTGTGTGTATGAATGCAGTGTGTGTGTTTAGTGCAGTGTGTGTGTTTAGTGCAGTGTGTGTATGAATGCAGTGTGTGTGTGTGATGCAGTGTGTGTGTATGAATGCAGTGTTTGTGTATAAGTGCAGTGTGTGTATGAATGCAGTGTGTGTGTGTGATGCAGTGTGTGTGTATGAATGCAGTGTGTGTGTGAGTGCAGTGTGTGTGTGTGTGTGTGCAGAGCCTTGGTGGGGGGGTGGGCATTTTTATAAAAAAAAAAATTTTATTATTATTTTTTTTTTTTTGTTATATTATTTTTTTAATAATTTTTTTATTATTATTTTTATTATTTTTTATTATTATTTATGTATTATTATTTTATTTATTTTGTTGTCCCCCCTCCCTGCTTGATACATGGCAGGGAGGGGGGCTCTCCTTCCCTGGTGGTCCAGTGGCATTGGCAGTTCAGTGGGGGGAGGAGTGGGGCTGGCAGAGCTGTTACTTACCTCTCCTGCAGCTCCTGTCAGCTCTCTCATCCTCCGCGCCAGTCCGTGCAGCTCTTCTCTCAGCTCCCAGTGTAAGTCTCGCGAGAGCCGCACTATGACCCCGCGACTCTCGCGAGACTTACACTGGGAGCTGACCGAGGTGCTGCACGGACCGGCGCGGAGGAGGAGAGAGCTGACAGGAGCTGCAGGAGAGGTAAGCAACAGCTCTGCCAGCCCCCAGTCTGTATTATGGCAATGTAAGTTGCCATAATACAGACAGTGACTCGAGTATAAGCCGAGTTGGGGTTTTTCAGCACAAAAAATGTGCTGAAAAACTCGGCTTATACTCGAGTATATACGGTAATTATTCTGAAGAGAGAAGGATTACTGCTTTGCTTTTGCACTTTACTATCTGGCATTTCTATTGTCCTGCATCTGTACTTTACCAACCAATAAAGCATTTACAGTGTTGCACTATGGATGTCTATTGTTTTCCTTACATGTACCTTTAACCCCTTAAGGACTGGACTGTTTTTGCGATGTTGTACATTTGCAACCCGGAATATTTTTACACTTTTCTGGTGTTTGTGTTTAGCTGTAATTTTCCGCTCTCTCATTTACTGTTCCCATACAAATTATATATTGTTTTTTTCAGGACAAAAGGGGCTTTCTTTACATACCATTATTTATATAATCCCATGTATTTTAATTTTAAAAAAATAAAAAAATATGATGAAAAATTGAAAAAAATACATGTTTTTTTACTTTTACTTGAAAAATCTTTTACTCATCTACAAAAGCGAATGAAAAAAACAGCTAAATAGATTCAAAATTTTGTCCTGAGTTTAAAAATACCCAGTGTTTACATGATTTTTTGCTTTTTTTTGCAAGTTATAGGGCTATAGGTACAAGTAGGATATGGCGGTTTCAAAACAAATTTTTTTTAAATGTATCAATAGTGACATTGTAACACTATTATCTGTCATAAATCTCTGGAAAACACTCCACATGTATATATTTTTTTTAAAGTAGACAACCCAGGGTATTCATCTAAGGATATTTTGACACTTTCTATGCAGCCATTTTACCACAAGTCTTTGCCAAACTTTGCATAGATAGTTGTTTTTTTTGTTTTTTTCACATACATTGCAATTCAGGTATAAACTTACAGATCCTGTTATGTCTTGCTGCCAAAAAAACACACTAATATATGTTCAGCAATATCTCCCGAGTACAGTGATACCACTCATGCATAGGCTTGTCGGATTGTTTGGGGGCTAAAAGGCCACATTTGGCAGGTGCGCATATCCATTTTTCAACTTGGAATTTTGACATGTAGTCAACCTGCGCACATGTCCTATTTGGGACATTTGTAAGGCCGGCCAATGTATTTTACCCCCACCAAACCATATATTTTTGGAAAGTAGACACCCTAGGGTATTTCAAATGGTGGTTTTTTAACACTTTCCATGCACTAATTCTACCACCAGACTTTGTCAAACATTTAGGTAGTCATTTTTTGTGTGTTTTTTTTCACACACATTGTACTTTAGGCATGAATTAACAAATCGTGTTATGTGTCACTGCCAAACAACACGCCAATATGTGTTCAGCAACATCTCCTGAGTACAGTGATACCACCCATGCATAGGCTTGTCGGATTGTTTGGGGCTAAAAGGCCACATTTGGCAGGTGCGCATATCCATTTTTCAACTTGGAATTTTGACATGTAGTCAACCTGCGCACATGTCCTATTTGGGACATTTGTAAGGCCGGCCAATGTATTTTACCCCCACCAAACCATATATTTTTGGAAAGTAGACACCCTAGGGTATTTCAAATGGTGGTTTTTTAACACTTTCCATGCACTAATTCTACCACCAGACATTGTCAAACATTTAGGTAGTCATTTTTTGTGTGTTTTTTTTCACACACATTGTACTTTAGGCATGAATTAACAAATCGTGTTATGTGTCACTGCCAAACAACACGCCAATATGTGTTCAGCAACATCTCCTGAGTACAGTGATACCACCCATGCATAGGCTTGTCGGATTGTTTGGGGGCTAAAAGGCCACATTTGGCAGGTGCGCATATCCATTTTTCAACTTGGAATTTTGACATGTAGTCAACCTGCGCACATGTCCTATTTGGGACATTTGTAAGGCCGGCCAATGTATTTTACCCCCACCAAACCATATATTTTTGGAAAGTAGACACCCTAGGGTATTTCAAATGGTGGTTTTTTAACACTTTCCATGCACTAATTCTACCACCAGACTTTGTCAAATATTTAGGTAGTCATTTTTTGTGTGTTTTTTTCACACACATTGTACTTTAGGCATGAATTAACAGATCGTGTTATGTGTCACTGCCAAACAACACCCCAATATGTGTTCAGCAACATCTCCTGAGTACAGTGATACCACCCATGCATAGGCTTGTCGGATTGTTTGGGGGCTAAAAGGCCACATTTGGCAGGTGCGCATATCCATTTTTCAACTTGGAATTTTGACATGTAGTCAACCTGCGCACATGTCCTATTTGGGACATTTGTAAGGCCGGCCAATGTATTTTACCCCCACCAAACCATATATTTTTGGAAAGTAGACACCCTAGGGTATTTCAAATGGTGGTTTTTTAACACTTTCCATGCACTAATTCTACCACCAGACATTGTCAAACATTTAGGTAGTCATTTTTTGTGTGTTTTTTTTCACACACATTGTACTTTAGGCATGAATTAACAAATCGTGTTATGTGTCACTGCCAAACAACACGCCAATATGTGTTCAGCAACATCTCCTGAGTACAGTGATACCACCCATGCATAGGCTTGTCGGATTGTTTGGGGGCTAAAAGGCCACATTTGGCAGGTGCGCATATCCATTTTTCAACTTGGAATTTTGACATGTAGTCAACCTGCGCACATGTCCTATTTGGGACATTTGTAAGGCCGGCCAATGTATTTTACCCCCACCAAACCATATATTTTTGGAAAGTAGACACCCTAGGGTATTTCAAATGGTGTTTTTTTAACACTTTCCATGCACTAATTCTACCACCAGACATTGTCAAACATTTAGGTAGTCATTTTTTGTATGTTTTTTTTCACACACATTGTACTATAGGCATGAATTAACAAATCGTGTTATGTGTCACTGCCAAACAACACGCCAATATGTGTTCAGCAACATCTCCTGAGTACAGTGATACCACCCATGCATAGGCTTGTCGGATTGTTTGGGGGCTAAAAGGCCACATTTGGCAGGTGCGCATATCCATTTTTCAACTTGGAATTTTGACATGTAGTAAACCAGCGCCCCTGTCCTATTTGGGCCAATGTATTTTACCCCCATCAAACCATATATTTTTTAAAAGTAGACAACTCAGGGTATTTTAAATGGTGGTAGTTTAATACTTTTCATGCAATAATTCTACCACCAGCCTTTGGCAAACTTTTGGGTAGTAATTTTCTTCATGTTTTTTTACACATACATTGTACTTTAGGCATGAATTAACAGATCCTGTTATGTATCACTGCCAAACAACACCCCAATATGTGTTCAGCAACATCTCCTGAGTACAGTGACATCACCCATGCATAGGTTTGCTGGGTTGTTTGGGGGCTAAAAGGCCACATTCAAGACTTGTACATATCAGTTTTTCAACTTGATATATAGGTATGCTTGGCCTATCTTCAGTTTGGCATATTTTTGCATCCCCCCGTTAATGTTAACATCATGAAAGTTTATATTTTTATAAAGTAGACATTCCAGAGTATTGTATATGAGGTGTTTTCACATCCTTCCCCCAACCATTGTGCTAAACAAATTTCAGAGAACGTGCATGGTGGTAATTTTTTAATTCTGCTTTTTATGCACACGTCATCTGGTTTTGGCCAGCCAGTTATATGTTACTACCATAAAACTTTTTTAACCAAATGTGCAGGTATCAAATGCACCTTTAGCAGCATTCTCTAAACTAACTCCTGCAAAAAGAATCTAATTGGAGATTTGGGGGGAAGGAAACTGACTAACTAAAATTTGCTGCTTTCAAAAGAAAAAAAAACAGTGCAAAGGGGTGTCTGTCCTTTTCCTTTTTTTATAACAGACCCAGCAACATTTCAGGGGATTTGTTTTTTTTTTGCAGTTGGCGGTATCTTAAAAATAAAATGTCTGGACTCCTTTGGCACCGTTGTTGGAACTTGACCATCTCCATAAATTATTGTGGAAATCAGCTTGAACTAAAATTGGAGAAAGGTGGTTCTTTCTGGATTCATTTTTTTTTAAAGAGTAAAAATTATTATGTGTTGCTACTTGCATCAGGTAGATAGCCACCTTTTTATACCAGGCTTTTGTCTTTCTTAAGATAAGATATGGCTGCATCAGCTGATCAGCCAAATCAACACCCCCCATGTGCCTGTTATAAGCCCTGATGCACACCGGTTTTGTCTGTACCCTGCCTCGGACAGTGACGTCTGACATGCCCTCGTTATGGATGGTTGTTAGCATGTGAACATCCTTCCTGTCCTTAAATTTTATTGCAAGCACTTTAGCTTTGTGCAGACCTTTACATTCACTTTTTTTTTTTTTTTTTGGCCTCTATAAAAGGTCTGGGGAAATCCTTGGCATATCTTCTCACACTGCCACAGGCCAGTATCTAGAAACCCTAAAGAGTTTGAAACAAACGGACAATGCTATAAAAATTGTCCACATAAAGGTGGTAACCCTTATTGAACAAGGGGATCAGTAAGTCAAAAACAAGTT